CACTATTAGGAATGAATCCTGTTAGGAATTCCTGAGTTTAAATAAGACAAAACCCCCTCAGTACTGCCCTAGGGAGAGTTTGATTTCTTTATTACAAGAAGCCCAAAAGTCTCCTGCTTGGAAACCCTATTCCAGAAATGAGGAAAGTCCCAAACTCCTTGTCCTCAGAGGATCTCAGAGGTGCAAAATAAAGTGAGGGGTGATAAATGCCATTTCAGTGCAATGTTAATTCTCTTCAGTGCCTCAAAACTGACTTAGAAAATGATCCAAGTGCTTGTCCAAAACTCAGTGGTATAAAATGATCCATAATATGGACAAAGTAACCAGAGATGGACATGAACTGCAGTGGAACTGCGTGGTTTCAAACATCTGTACTGGGCTTCCTCAGTGTCTGATCCCTGTGTGACATTAACAGTTCTAGCACAGAGCCTGTGAAGGCAGGACTGACTGTCCAGTGCCCATTCACATCCACCAGGAGCCAGAAAGTTTGATCATCCAGCTCACAGCAAAGGAGCTCTGAAATTCCACACTGAATTATAGAACATTCATAGTCTGAACTGTATAAAATAAAATGGAACTGTTATCTTAGACTTTAAATATTTTACTATGCAATACTAAACCCATCTGTCTTCCAACACAAAAAGAAAATACAAATCCGAGGGAATGGCCTGTCAGAGGAACAGCACTGTACAGAAACAGAATATCCCTGGAATTCTGTGGTCTCTCCCAAGCCGGTGCCATTTCAGCTGTTGAGAATATTTTTCTTTTGTATTGCCCAGACCCGAATGCACAGACAGCCATTCCCATTCCCCAGAGTAAGAAAACTTCCAAGATTACATGAATAAAATAGATACACTGGAAATCAGGTAAAGCTTTACAAGGATTTCCCCACGTGTCCAAGGTGATTTCCTTTGGCCAAGGCTCCGTGGTGACGATTCCCTCTGCGAGTGACAGGTTTCCACCCCAGTGTCCCAGACCCAGCCCAGGACAGCACCTCTGCAGTGAGGCAGGAGGAGCAGAGACAGCCCTGCGGGGTGCTGGGGGTCTCCCAGAACTCCACTGGTGCAGAGGGGGCTCCCAACACCCCGTGGGACGTGCCCTGTCCTTCCCTTTCCCTTTCCATGTCCCGGGAGCAGCACACGGCAGGTCCAGCCCGGGGGGCTGAGGGGTCCCAGCCCTGCAGGGCAGAGCTGGGGGTGTCCTGCTGCCCCCCTGGATCCCACCCTGGGACACCCCCAGCACTGCCTCCCACTGCACCTGGGGAGCTGGGAACTCTGGGACCCCCCATTCTGCCCTGTCTTTGTAATAATCAAGTAAGATATTGTTACATTCCATTCCTATACTGCCATTTATATTATTGACAGATAATATTAAGATACACATATATAAGAACTAGGATACTCTTTATGGCCTCTATTTTCTGATGTATTAAACAAAAACAAACTAAAAAAAAAAAAACAAAAACCAAAAAACAATTGCTGGTGTTTCCAGTTTCCCAACAGAGAGGCAGGACCAAACCCCGAGCAGCTGCTCTGTGCTGTGGTTTTGAGCAGCAGGGCCTTGGGACAACTGTGCCCCTGCAAGGCCCGGAGTCAAAGCCCCATCCCACAGCACCACCTAAAGAGTTTCTGGGTTCCAAGACAGGACAAAGCAGAGCCTGATGGATTAATTTAGTGCAGCTCACAAGCCCAGGTTTGTTTGCTGCACTTTGCCTGTGGAAACAAAATAATATTGTCTTTCTATGTGTAGTGCCAGAAAAACTGAGGGCCATTCCCAGAGGCAGGAATGAGCCCCAGCAAAGTGTGTGCCATGTGCTAAGGACTCAAAACACAGGGAAGGAGTAACTCCTGCATCAGTAGAACTGCCTGAAAAGCTGTGTGTGGAAAACCCAACCCAGCCCCCTTCCCTTCACGCTTTGGTCAGTGCAGGAATCCCGGGGTTTGTGGTGGGGAGGGAGGGAGCCGTGGCAGGGACGGGGACAACGGGGGACTCTGGGCAAACCCCCTCGTGTGTGAGTTGCAGCTCAGTGATGGTCCTGCAGCTGTCCTGGCTCAGCCTTCTGTAAAAGAAATGCTTGGTTTATGCTGGCTCAAAAAAACCAAAACCCCTCTGTCACTCCCAAAGGGACACCAAGGCCATCGAGTGTCACTCAAAGGTTTCCCATCGCTTTCTGAGCTGTTCCACCTTACCTGGCGTGGGTGACACATCCTGCTTGGTCTTTTTTAACAGATCTTCAAATGGATCTTTTGTCTCCTCAGACTTTGAGGACAGTAACACTGCCTCCAAGCCCTTGGCTGGCCTGGCAGGGAGCAGAGGGGGTTCATTGGCCAGGAGAGCCAGAGCCTGTTTGGGATCTACCTTGGTGCTGGCCTGGCCCACCTGTAACGTTGGGGGCTTGGGGGGCCCGCTGGGACACGCTGCCTGCAGGGAACTGGCTGCAGAAGGGCTCTGCAGGAGCAGGGAACCAGCTGCTGGCACAGCTGGAGCCTGGCTGAACAGGTTTGGCATGGACAGAGTTGACAGGTTGGGTTGAGGTCTCTGTGGTGGGTAGAAGCCACCGGGTGTTATGAAGCTGGAGCTGTAGGCGTGACCTAAGGAGGGGGTGAAGGAGCCCCTCGGGGCTCTGACCAGGGACACTGGAAGGGCTCCTGGCAGTGTCTGGGTGAAGGGATTAGGGGATGCCTGTAGAAAAGGTGGTGGGGCTGGGGAAGGGTAGCCCAGGGGCTGGACAAATGGTGCAGCTGGAGGAGGCACAAAGTCACTTCCCCCCAGGCCAAAGGCAGCCGTGGGGGCCGGGCTGTGCAGGCTGGGGGGCCCTCGTGGGGCCCGGCCCTCCCAGCCCGCCGTTCGCAGCGGGTCCAGCAGGTCCAGCAGGAAGTCACTGTCCTTACCTGCACCTTCTGCCTGCACCTTGACAGGCTGGAGCATCTCGGCAGCGCTGCCAGCACTGGACAGCAGCTGAGATGGGTGAGGGCAGTAATTCCCAGACTGCTGGATTTCAGGCTCTAAGGACACGTGTCCCGCTCCAAAGGGCTCTGGGATAAGATCAGAGACCCGGTTGGGAGTGGGGAGGGTCTCCCCTGACCCTGTTGCAGTCTGGTGCTTGGATGCCCGGGGTGCTGGTGGTGGTGGCACTATCCCCAGTTCCGGAGTCTTTCTTCCCTGTGGCCTCGGAATGGTGATGTTCCCTTGAATGGCAGGATTGGATTCATCCTTCTCTGCGGGAGCCAGACCACTGTCCCTGCTCCGGGGTCTCCTGGTGACTGGGGGCACGTTTCCCAGGGCACTCAGGGACCTTTCTGGTGAGCTCTGGGAATACTTGGTGGGAATGGCCATATCATCATGGCCCATACTCCACAGCTTGTTGTAGGGGTGGGACAGCTTCATGGTTGGCACAATCCTGCTCCTCTCGGACACACCCAAGTCCATTCTCTGCAAGAAAGCATCAGAGATGTAACTTTGACTGCCCAGAACACATATTATTATTATTACTATTATTATTATTATTATTACTACTACTACTGGGATCTACCCAACAACACAAAGAGGTTCCCCCTACACAGCCCGAGCTGTGCAGCCCCAGCCCCCAGACCTGGTAGTCGAAGGTGCAGCGCTGCTCCGCCTCCTCCGCGGGCACCCGCAGGTCTTCCAGGCTCTTGGCTTGGCTCAGAGGCTGAGGCTGGGACTCCACCTCCAGGTTTGGGAAGATGTCCTGCAGGAGGTTGATGTCGGTGGCCGTGCTGGCGAGCAGGGGGCTGGGGGGCAGCAGCTCCCGGGGTCTCTCGGGGCTGCCCCGCTCCGGCTCCTCCCCATCCGCGCTGTCCGACTCCTTGAGGGCGCGGTACGGCTGGGGCCTGGCAGGGACAGACACCACGGTGGAAAGGGCCATCTCTGAAATGTGTTTGTGATAAACACTATTCCTAAGGAGCTGGGTGAGTTACAGAAAGTTCCTGGTGCCCGATCCAGCCCCAAGAGCCCACACAGGGCAGGATGTGGGCAGTGCCCGCGGGCAGGGGGACATGCAGAGTGGCCCTGGCACCCGGGGTGCTCAGGCAGGCAAGGCCCGGTGGAAGTGCTCAGAGGGAAGCTGTGCTCATGCAGGTACAGCCAGGCTGGGCAGGGAGCTCTGGGGGCAGGGATAACGGGCTGCCAGCTCTCCATGCTCCCCTCAGGCCGGGCATGGCCTGTGTTTGCAGGCACTTCCAGCCTCCTGCTCTGAGCCAACTCAGCACACAACATAATTCAGTGTTTTCCTGCAATAATTGGGAACACTGTGCAGAGTTCCAATGATTTCACTGGTGTCATCTTATCAAGAAACAGCACAATCCATTATGGAGACACCTCCTTTACATTCCTAGCCCAGGCTGAGTTAGCAGGATGCTTCTCTTGCACAAACCTCAGCAAAAAAAATGAACCAGCACATTTGCATTTTGGTGTGTACAGAGAACAGCAGCACGATGTGCATCCAATTAATAACAGCAAGTGCCACACATGGCTGTGGGGATTGGCACTTGACTGGCAGCTGGTTGTACTGTGGCATTTAAACAAGCTTTCAATTAAAAGAAAATATTTGTGAGACCTGCAAAAACAGATCCTATGGAAGAACCCTCCTCCTCTTTCCATATTTTATCATAATGCATCTATATCATGCAAATTCCCAAAGAGCCCAGCTCACTCACTCCCAGCACACACAGCAGGCACAGCCAACCCCAGGAGTGTGACACTGCAGGTACAAGGCAGACACTGATGGGACATGGCCTTGGGAAGGGGGATCTCAAACCCTGGTCGTGCCTTCAGTCTCCCCTCCTGTGTGCTCTGCACTGAGTCACACTGCAAACCCCCCGAGCAACGTTCTGCAAACAGGACTGGCCTCCTCCACCCCAAACATGATAGGGGAACATTTTTGTGACCCTTTACTACTGAACCTCCCCATCCCACCCACCAGCAGTCCTGTCCCTTCCTGTCAGCCTGACCCTGCCCTCTGCAGCACACACTGGATGTCAGGACCTGCAGACCCCCTGTCACACTGGAGCCTCCCTCTCCAGCCTGGTCCAAGCAGCTGTGGCCAGCAGGCTCCAGCTGCTCCAGTGGGACCAGGATCCACCTCCCAGCTCCTGAACTGCCTGGATCTGGCACCACATGGATTTCTGAGGCAGTGGCTCACAGTGCCCTGGAACCTCTTCTGCAGGTTCTGGTCAAGCCAGTGACTGCATTTGTTTAAATGTACCACAAGTTCCAGTTCAAAAGGTGGATACAAACAAACCCAACAAACCTCCTGCTCCCTGTGTAATTGTCAGACTGTACCCACCGCCCTGGGAGGACACATGCACGGGGAGTCCCCAGGGATGTGGGACCTGACAGACCAGAGGCTGGGATCAAACAGGTGACACTGGAGAAGGCTGGTTACTGCCCTGAACCAGGGCTCACAGGACAACCCAAACCCACTGGAACAAGGCCCACAGGACAACCCAAAACCACTGGAACAAGGCTCACAGGACAAGCCAAGATCACAGTAGCACTGCACAAAGAAGAGTGGCAGAAGGCCTGGACAGGAGCACGAGCAGCACATTGGAACAAAGGACAAATGGCAGGGGGACATCCCACAGAGCTCCTGTAGGCTGTGGGCTGCTGCAGTGGTTCATGCAGGAGGATGCTTTTGCATGCTGCTCAACACCAAAACAAACAAGCAGGAGAGATGCTGGACATTCACCAAGCACTGTAAAGAGACCACAGGAGCATTCCCAAAATGCCAGTACAGGAGCAGGCACCCTGAGCAATGCAAAACCCACTGTTGGCAGCCGGCACGAGCACAACCAAAGAGTAAAGGATAGACCATTCGAAAGGAGCAGAGAAGAAAAAGTTTTCAGAGAAGCCAGAGACAGGATCCTCTTCCTGCTGAAACTCATCATCAGAGGAGTCCTCCGAGAGGAAGACAGTATAGTGTCGCATGGGCTTTACCAGGCTGGGGACAGGAAGAGAGAAGGCAGTTATGAAGTGCTTGCAGCTCCTGAGGAGAGAACCCGAGAGCTGGAGGCTCCAAACCCCCCTGAGGCTCCAAACCCCCCTGAACTGGCTGCCTGCACTGCCCAGGACTCACAGGGGCACAAACCACAGCTCTGCTACACAGGCCAGGGTGCCACGGGGTCGGGAAGGGCCCTGTGAGCTGCAGTCACAGCACGGTGCAGGGGTGCCACACAAACCCATCTCCCACCACATTCCCTGGGGTTGGGCACCTCTTTGTTCTTCAGACACACAGCTCGGAGCTCTGGCTGCAAGCAAACACCCATCACATCTCCCTGCTGCTCCACAGACACTTACACTGGCATTAGCCTGGCACCCACAGGAGCTGACTCCAGGTATCAGTTCCTACCTGTACCTGTTTTTCATACTAAAACTGCTTCACTCTAGAATAAAATCAAAACTGCCCAAGGATGGATATGAAACATCCAGTATACGTTTCTTTCCTCTCTGGTAAACTGAAAATCATTTCTTAAAGATTAGCTCAGAAAAGGAGAAGTTGGACTGCCACTGCTAATGAATGTTTATTCACAATCAGGACAGAGCTAATTAATACAAGGTCTCTAACAGGTGGCAGTGGCTGCAGCTGATGGTGTTAAATCAGGCTGCCTTACTCCATGAAAGCTGGGGCATTGCTGTGCTTTCCCCTCTCCTGCTGTAACAGGTATCCAGGGGAAGGGAGGGGAGGCCACTGCAGTGGGAACCATTGGTTTGAACATTTTTTAAATTTTTTTTTTCTTTTTAGAAAGTGACTATGATTAAAAAAAAAATCAATTTACATTAATAAAAGGCTCTACCTAAAATAAAGCAGAAAGCAAAGACACCTAATAAATACTCGTGTTTTGAACTCAGATACACGTCTTTGTGTCTTAGGAGAGTAAGCTACCATTTAACATGAGTCCAGAAAACCTAATGTGATGTCCAGAAATCCAGAGTGACACTGAATTTCCACATATATATATATATGTATATATACAGGAAAAGGGAGAGGGAAGGGGAAGAAGGAAAGGGGAAGAGGGAAAGGTGAAGTGGAAGGGAAAGGGGGAGGGAAAGGGAGAAGGGTGAGGGATAAGGGGAAGGGCCGTGCCCGTGCCCAGCGCAGGGTCCCCGCCCCGCACAGCCCGGTGTCCCTGCGGCGGTGACAGCGCTGACAGCGCCCGCTCCGTAAATACCGTGTCAGAGCGGCGCCGGCACCGCGCCACGGCGGGCTCTGCTTAATGAGGGAGATCTGCATCTCGGCAGCTTTTTTCAGGTGTCAGGATGCATGGACAAATCAGCGGCACATCACGCTGGCCAAAAATGAAATGCTGACAAATGTAGATATTTCAAATTTAATTGACACCTAAATGTACTTGAGATAGAAAAAAAATACGTACAGAAAACGGGAGTGCAGGATATGGGAATTAATAAGGAGAATTCTGCGATAATTTTAAAGGATGTTTCAGTTATGGGAAAATTAAATTTGTGTATTTGATTACAGTGTTGCTCTTTCCTGAGGACAGGCATTATGGTACAAAGGGGTCTATGGACTTGACATTATCCTCCTAAAAAGGGCTCCCCAAATCTAAGGGAGAATAATTTTTATTGGTATAGTTTTGCAAAGAACAGCCATACAGCAGCTCTAGGGAATTAAGGAATCTGTGCCTCTTAGTGAAATGCAGAGAATGAGGGATTTGGATGCATGGGTTTTTTCCTGCTGGTATGAAATAGGAGACTTGGGACTGAGGGGATTACCTGGGAACTCTTCCACCTGAACACAGCTCAGACCTACCCCTGGAATCCCTTCCTGCAGATCCTGAACACTATCAGAGCTCCTTGCTTGCAGTGAGGCCATGGAAAACCTTCCCATCCCCAGATGCCGTGTGGGGGAGCCCTGAGAGCCTGGTTACACCTGGAATTTAATGTGCCTCACGAGCCTGCACCATCCAGCACAGCACCACTGACTCCATCCCAAATGCTGGTGACACCCAGCACAGCCCTGCAGCCCGTTCTCCTGGACACAGGGAATGCAGCAGCTCCTGTGCCAGTGCCCAGGGCTGGGGCAGGGCCATAATGACCTGTCACAGCACCCCAGGGCCTCTGACACCCGGTAATTGGGAGCCCGACCCTCTGATTGCCCCGTTCCATTTCCTCCCGCTCCACAGGCCCTGGGAGCCAGCTGGGAGACATCCCAGAGCACTCTGGAGAGCCTATTCCACAGCTAATAGGAAATCTCGCTGTGGTGTAAAAGGGAGCTCTCAGAAATCTGCCTGTCTGCTGAAAATGCGACACCTTATTTCTGTGACCAGCTCATTTGTGTTTCAGGAGGCACAGCCCAGTGTCAGGGCTGCCCTGGCTGGTAATGCAGCATTTCCTGAGCTCTCATCTGCAAACTCTTCCTGTTACCTTAGAGCTAGAAAAGCTTTTTAAAAATTATAAATTTTAGATTAAGGACAAATTTTTAAGAGTCAAACATCACAAACCTTGAGTTATTGATACAATTCTAAAGAAATAAACTTTCTATTGAAATAGAAGAAAAAATCACTGACAATTCTGACTCTTCTAAACACACTGGTTTAACAACAGACATGAGACACAATCTTGGGTGTTCTTTGCAGTCACTGCTCCTGCCCCACTGTGCTTTAATTGATTAGAAAATGAGCACAGACACCCCCAAAACAATGCTTTCCTTTTATACATACTAAAAAAATTAACTCAGGTAACTAAAGATATAAATTTCCTCACCTCCAATGCTACCAGGTAACACAAGTGAAAATATATATTGTGGTGTATAAATAGCATGGTTAAAATTCATGTTTCTGTTAATTTGTGGTCTGATGGTGGCAGGAACTGAAGGTGCACGTTAGCAGTGAGCCCCCTGGAATGGCAGCAGCTTTGGAACCCAAAGTGCAGAACCCTCCAGATGAACACACAGAAATGTGACACTGATTCAGTTATCCTCCACCTCCATGCAGATCAAATAGTAAGGAAATGCTTTCAGTTTAAAAATCCCTGTCACCTCAGAGCAGGGCCAGCACGGGCCCCTTGCAGGCTCTGCATCTGCTCCACCAGAGGGCAACCAAATTCCACTGGAAAACGGCAAATAACTGCTGGAAAACGGCAAATAACTGCTGGAAAACGGCAAATAACTGCTGGAAAACGGCTCTCAGGTAAGAGCCAGGGCATCTCCCCACCTGGAGAGGCCGGGAAAAGCTGCCCCTGCTCTTCACTCTGGGGGGTGAGGGACACCCAACCAAAAGGCACAGTCCTTAAGCTCCCCAGATTCCCAGCTGAGGGGTGGAACCCCCTTAAGAACTGCAGCTAATGCCAGGCTGTGCCCAGCAGAACTTGGTGCTGGGACCTTCAGCTCGTGAACAGCTGAGCAGCCACACCCCAGAGAACCAACAACTGCAGCTCCCAAGTGCACACGGAGCAGCCTCCCCTGTGTCTGTCACACACAGCTCTGTCCCCTGGGCCGTGCTGGCAAGTCCAGTACACCCAGTCTCTGCTCAGGGTCTCCCTTGATGGCCCATTGCTAACTCCTCAGGCACCCACACAGTACTGGGTGCTCTGTAAAAAGTCCTGGTATATGTAACATCTGTGAAACCAGCTGAAAAAGCCTCTCCAAGGTAACAGCACACACTACTTGGACACACCAGACAGGTGTTGGAGACCAACACGTTCTATCCAGGAGCACTTGGCTGCAGCAGCACAGCTGGTTTGGAATGTCACCCCTTTACTGTCACAGCTAAAGGGGTGATGAATTTGCTGGTACTGTGGCAGCCAGTGAAGCCCTCCCAGCCCTCAGCACAGAGCTCCTCACAGTCCTTCTGGTGCTGCCCTCTGCCAGCAGACACAGCCCTCTGTGCCATCACCCTGGAACAGGCAGGTCTGAACCTCCCAGGTACAGCCTGGGTCTGCAGGGCTGTGCCTGACCATGTCCTTCAAAGAAAAGTGCAAAACAAACCAACTCAGAGATTAACAAACCAACACCTGAGAATCTCACTGACCACGCTGATGCCACTGTGTGCGACCTGGCAAACCAGAATTTTCTCATAAGCAAACTTGGGTTTCTTGCCTTTTCACACTTCCTCTACAATGTTCCAAAAAATTTAAAAAATCCCATTTTTTGTTAAGTTAAACAATAACTTTGATCTGCAGTATTTTTCAATGCCTCCTTCAGTGAGTGCCAGGGCAGCAAAGCACTTACTGTTCTGGGCTGGGAACCGACGTCCTGCGTCCCTCTACTGCGATGTTGCTCTTGGGTCTCTTGACAACATGAGGCCTTGGGGGGCGAACCTGTTACACACACAGAGACCTCTGATCAAACACTTCAGCTGATCCAACACCAGACACAAATCCCAAACACGGATCATTTTAATTATTATTTGTTGGGGGAGGAATTTTTTTAATTTTTTTTTTTAATTTTTTTTTTAATATTTTTTTTGTATTTTTCTTCCCAGGCACATAAACCTCAAATTCTCCAGCCAGGAAAAAGCTATCAAATCTTGTGCAGTGCTCCTGCCCTGCACACCAGCATGCAGAAGGTAGTAGCAGCATTATTGCATTGAATTTTCATTTCAAAGGAAATGGTGCACAGCAGATATGATAGAGAAATCCAAGCTGTATTGCCACTATTTCTTAGGAAAAAGGGCTTATGAAAAGGTCAGATGTTAAGGTCTTGGAGATCAGTCCCCACACAAGGCTGCTCCTCTCTACAATAAAGACGGCTTAAGAATGTGAATTTATGGCAGCAATGGAAGGATTAAGTTTGTGGCAACTTCAACTGAACTTGCAACGTGGTGAAACATGGGAAAAAGAACAACAGAGCTAATTAGAGGAGCTGAGCTGTCAGAGCGCGGCAGAATGGCTCGGTGCCAACAAACAAAAGGAATGGGCTGGCAATCAGCAGGATCGATGAAGAATACTGCTTCATTAGGGCTGATAAAACAGGCAGAGACGAGAGGAGAGGGGGGAGAGAGGCAGGAGGGCCGGGGAGAGGGGAGCACCGCGGAGGAAGGGGGAAGGAGAGGGAGAAAGCAGCTGTTTAATTAAACGGGAGCTGGGAGCTGATGTGCAAAGCTGGGTGTCACCGGGCTGGGGACACTTTCACCTCAGGGGGTGTGCTGGGAGCAGGGGCACAGAGCACAGTTTGGGGTGGCCCCGGGGGCCACCGGCCCAGGGCAGAGCGGGGTGACGTGCCAAGGGGGATTTAGGGCATTGTTCAGGGGGAACTGCAGGAAAAGCCGGGAATCAAGTCATTCCTTGCTGGATTTTGAGCCTCACATAGAAAAACAGGCAAGGTTAAATGCTTATCAAATGCAAAAGTATCAAAGAAATCCAATTACGTGAGCACACTGCCAAAAGAACAAAGGTAAACTCCCAGGGCAGAAGGCTGAATGTGCTTATTACTGTCCCCATCAACATTAGGCATAATTATTATATTTTAACTTTTTCTAATTGAATAAAGTTTCCAAACAGCCACTGTTAGACCAAACAGATCTCCATTAATTATAAGCAACAACCCTCTCTCTTTCATAATACCACCACAGCTCATTTCCAAACCAGCAGAATGCAAAGAACATCTCTGTTCTGCCTCCTTAGCCTTTCTTTGGTGTGTGTTTTTGCCTTTATTATTAGCAGTGACTCATATTGCAAGCACCAGTGCCCATGGAGTCCTCCCTGCAGCAGTAAGAATTTCCCAGGAATTCTGCTCTTATGTGGCCCTAGCTGGAAGAGCAGAGGGACCTGGTGTCCTCCCTCAGTGCTTGTGCACAAGGCCAGGATCACTGACTTGCTGGTACCCACCTCTGGAATAGCTGCCAAGACTGAGAGAGGGGAAAAGCAGCTGCACAAAGTATTATTTACACACACACAAATGTGTTTCAACTATTAAAAGCCAAATAACAGTTCTGAACAACAACAAATTTATGTATATTTGGTACAAGCATATTTTTGGGAGTGATTATAATCATTTACATTTATCTTGAATTTCCTCTTGATGAATGAAGCCTTTCTGTTCCACTTATTGACACAGCCAGATGAATGCAACAGGAGCTTTCATTATTACATTTCCAACCTTTTATCAATCACATTGGGAGCAAAGACAGTTGAACCAAACACATCACAGGGAGGACTATTAATGCACTACAGTTGGGAGATTAAACAGTCTTAGCATGTAATAAATGTATAAATGTAATAAACCCGTGTCATAAATGACTCCATCTGAACACCACTGTTCAGCAGCTCTGGTGCAGAGGAATCACAACATGCCCTCATACACCTGCCAGCCACGGAACACGAGGGCACTGAAGCACCACAGGAACCCCACGGAACAGGGAACGTCTGACCCCGGTGGAACAACCTGGGGGGGTCTCCCACAGCAATCCCATTTAACAGAACACACATAAACATAGTCAGTGCTCCTTTTTAAACACAGAAAACAGAAATCTTCAGAGCAAAAATCCATAGAAGTGACTCTGTTAAGCTGGACACCCAGAGTTAAGAAGGAGGAGAAGAAACACATGCTATTGAAATGTAACACAGGAACATGCACCAGAGATCAAAAGTTAAAACACACACCCAAGTGCACTTGTTAACCAGTTACCTGCTCATCCAAAACATATTTTAACAAGTTTTAGCAAGACTGGATTTGAAAACTTGCATCTCTCTCTTTCTTATGAACATGTGTGTATGTGTAAGGAAGCAAGAAGTAAGATGATTTGGGGGAATTATATTCATGAAGCTGAAGTCCTGAATAGACATAAATATCTTCCAAAGCTGTTGCAAAAACCAACACCCCTCCTAAACTGATACCTGTTGCCTGCCCTACTACAAAAAATAAAAATTTGGTGCAGATCCAGCAGAATCTCCAGTTTTAAAGCCATCTGGCAGAGTTCATAGACAACAACTGTCCTACAGGGAGCATTTTGGGGCAAAAACTGCTGAAATAAGGTATCCCTGCCTACTACAGGACAGGTACTGCACTGCCAGTAATTTCTGTGCAGTCCTTCCATGGCAGAGTCCCTTCCCCTGACCAACCTGCCATGCCTGTTTTACACTGGAATGACTCAGTGTATGTCCTCCACAGTGTGGTACCAGTGTCCTACTGCCCAAACATCCACCTGCTTTCTTCAACTCTACTCACACAGCTGTCCCATGGAGAAGAATTAAGCATCTCAAAGTAATTTAAAGCATAACTTGCAGAGAATAAATATTTTCTCTTCAGACTTCTGCTTCCTTTCGTATTTGAGTTCAGTGCAAGTCTTCAAAAGCTCACTGGCTAAAAACTTCTGCCAGCCCAGCAGGGCTTTCTGGGTAAGCAATCCCGCAGAGGTCAGAGGAGCCTGGCAGAGCAGCCCCGTTACCTGCAGAGCTGCAGGACTCCAGAGAGAAGCAGAGCCCCCGGGTGCCGGGCTGAGAGAGAGTCAGGAGCACAGCTCACACACGGCTTGTGCAGCTGGACAGTCCCAGGGCCAGGTTTAGTAGTGCTGGAGGAGGCAGCTCAGGCAGGGTTAAGCTGTGCAGGGACACAAACCCCAGCTACTCACGGGCCGGGCCGAGCGCTGGATCCGGGGGGGCGGCGGCCGGGGCGGGCGGAGTCTGTGCTGCGGCGGCAAAGTGGAAACTGCATTAAAGTCACCTGCAGGGAACGCTCCCACCTCCGGGCACGGGCGGCACAGCAGCTGACAGCACGGCCTTCCCCTTCATACTCACCTCACCAAAGGCCCTTTTCCCTATTTGATTTTTCCAAAACAGTGGCAAATCCCATGACTTGAGACCTGCCACGACAGGACAGGTCCCCACTGCTGCTGACGTGGGCTGGACACAGCTGCTGTCACACCAAAGGCAGCAGGAGCAGCACTCCAGACCAGTCAGCCAAAATTTACTGAGACAACAAAGATGCTCAAGGGGGATTCGTGGCCCTTGAGGCTCAAATGTTCTAGACTACATTTATGCCAAGGGAGAGCAGGATACTCAAAAATGCTTTCACTAAAACATCAAGAGTGGTTTTAGTGCTTGTGAAGGGTTATGGGAAAGGCCTCAAACCAGACATTTAAGAGCATGGGAAAAACTTTCCAGTTAAACTTTCCATACACTTGGAGGTGAGCACGTGCTCAGCTCCTGTCCTGGCTCGAGGTCGGAATGCACTGCCCAGATGACACGGCCTGGAACTCAAAACTACTTGTGCAAGTATCCCTTTAGCTCTGTGTAAGTGAAAATAAATACACTACAAATACCCAATGCATTCATATTACAACAAACTACTCCTTTGCAGGTGACAATACTTTCATATCTTTATCCTGTCACTGCATTATTTTTTCCAGCTGAGATTCAGATATCACACATGATTAAGCTTTCATCTCTGATCAAAAAATAATTCTATGTGTTTCCACAATAAAGACACATACAAATGCTGCTCTGGGAAAAGATTAAAGGTGTAGAAACTTTTGCATCTCTTGGACTTCTAAACAGGCATCGTGTTAACTCCCAGAACTGTGACCCCAGTGCTTGTAACAACACAGGCAAATCCAACTCACACTCAGATTTATCTTACCCACTGAAGTGCTACCAGGAACACAGTTTGTTTTGAGGCCTCGGATGTATTGCACTTCTGAGCCCTGAAGAGATCTGAACAGAAGAGTGAGCCAAACTGCACATTCCCAGGGCAATAGGATGGCTTGGATCAGTGCTGGGCAGCACAGGGCAGAGCAGGCAGGGGGCAGTGGGCACCACACCCTCGGTAACAGGGCTTCATTTCCAGCGTTGCTCTCACTGTCTGCCACCACAACGGGACAGGCAAGCGTGTTCCAGCTCTGTGCACACCATATTTACTGGAAGAGCCACTGATTTGAAGTTAATTTGTTAATGCAGCAAAACACATTGTTTCTGAAAGGTCAGCAGGTGAAGCTGTGTTGGAACATCAACTTAATTACCTGGGCTGTGAGGAGGCTGGGCAGGAACCAGCACAGGGCTACAGTGCTAAAAGCTGTTAAATTGCTGCTCTAGGTACCGTCCTAAATGTGTGTGCTCTTGTTTTCTGTGAAGGGGAGAAATGTCTAAATTAGCACTTCCTCACCAGTAGCTGTTTACCAGCATACCTTTTCCTCTGGATATTTGCTTAATTGTCTTGTTCGAAATACTTCTAAAGCAACAGGACAGAAAATTTGCAGAAAGCCAATTCTATGGCTGCAGATCTGGCACTGGTTTACTAATTATCAGACAAGTGACTTAAGTTATGAGATGCTGGAAGAAGAAAAATCTTATATTCCTTTTTACACTATCAAAATACTACTTAA